GCATTTGAGGCATTTTGTAGGCCTCTGACACCTAAACAAAATTCAAAAAGTGATATCCAGCCGATAAAGAGGCCGATTAAATGCCCACTCTAAAGCTGCGAATTGGACTGCCCTCGAAACGAACGATGGGCAGCCTGTGCATCTGTGGGGCACTGGCCTCCATCTCTGGGCTGGCCTATATGCGCTGGCGGCTGGAGGATGGGGTGCGTCAGTCGGAGTACTACCAGATGGCCATCCAGCAGCTCCGCCAGCACAGCGGAGCCGTGGGTCTGCTGGGGGAGCCCATCAAGGAGTCGGGCTTTAGTCTGTCCAACGAGAAGAACCGCTGCGATCCGGACAAGGCCCAGTTGCAGGTGAGCGTTCAGGGTTCCAAGGACAGGGGCACCGTCTACTTCTGGGCCACGAACAACCAGAAACAAGGCTGGCTTATCGATCGTCTGGAGCTCGAGACGAAGCAGCATCCAAACACTCGTTTCCTGCTCAAGAAACCCCAGAACTATGCCCTTCTCAGTAGCGAAGGTGATCCGGATCCTCCGGGTTCCACCGATTCCACAGAGGAATCCCAGCAGCCGCAGGAGTCGCTCGACCCACAGGAGCAGGCGGAGAACGAGGAACAGGAGCAGGATGCGCAACGTCCCCCCAGTATTCACAACAATCCTCCACAACAACTGCACCAGCGACAAGGTCAGGAGCCAGTGCCATACGTTCATACAGCGGAGGGCTGAAGAATGCAGTGATATATTAGGGGAATCGGTCTAATCGGCAACCAAGATATATTTTCAAGAGTGGAATCTCCTCAAATAATCCGTATTGAATGGTTATTTGGGAGTTAAAGGTCTCATTGCTTTCAAATGTTAAAATTAAATATTAGGCAGCACAAGTTTTAAACTATCGAATTTAAAAACATAATATAATTTGTATAAACATAAACCGTGTATTAAAATTAAAGTATTTGCTAACATTCAAGAGTTTTTTGATAAGAATTTTTTATAAAATGAAAACGTTTTCATTCTCAATTAAACCTACATAAAATTTGTAGAGTGTATACCTTCAAAGAATCCCTATTTAATGGATTTTTGAAAAGTAATGGTGCTTTTGCTTTTAATTGTTAAAATTAAATATAAGTTTTTGAAAATTTAGAATTCGAAAAAGGAAATACTATTATTAATCTAATTTTTTGAAATTAAAAACAATGCATTTATCTTAATTGAAGTATTTGCTTGCTTTTAAATGTTCATCAACAAATATTTTGTATTATATGAAAATATTTTACAATATCTCAACTAAGCAATAAATCAAATTGGCAAGGGTAACATATAATTTAGTTAAATATACTATGGTACTCGTTTATATACAATATAATTTCGAGAAAAGCACCATTTAAATTTATAAAGTAAAATAGATAACAATAGCTGCGTTCAGAGCACCAAAGAGTAGACATTTTAATTTACTTGAAATCATTTTAATACATCCTCTGGCATTCACAAGAATGTCAACAATGACATTGTGGTTTCAGCTTCTGTCTGTTTGGCAAAGGTTTCGAGTAAAATAAAATGAATTTGATTTCATGTAGATATTTGCAGTTTATTTTTAGTAGTTTGCTTTCCGTTGTTAGAAAAGTATAGCATCATGTTATTTAAGAATGATATGCATTAAAAAAATAAATGACCGACATTTATTTATGGGTAGACCATGAAAACATTCAGAGCAAAACGCTGAAACGATTAGGGGGCTTGGGATTTGTATGGGTCGGTCATACATATATGCTTCTTGAAATGCAGGCATGCGTTAAAACTAAGCAAAGTCAATGGTTTAAATTGAATTTGTATTGTATTATATCTAGCTAGCAATGTTCTTAGTTTGGGTATTTTCGTTGGGAGCAATCCAACCCATGTTGTCCGGGTTGTTATCGCTTCATTTGGGGCGTTATCTGGGTGCGTGGTAATTAAATTCGTGATATTTGTAGTTTCTTTTTATAGCCAGTTTCCCGCCTTTATTTACTTTTTTTGTGGAAATGTTCACCTTCCTTGTTGAGATGTTATTAAAAAGATAATCGCAATCTTAGACATTTTATTTGCCTCTTTTTCCTTCTTTATTTCGTGGAAATTAAATGAGGGACAAAAAGGGGCTGCAGGGGTTGTGTTGCCACTTCTTGTTGCCTTGAAAGTTCAACAAGCCAAGACAAGGAAGCAACAACAACTACAACAACAATAAGACGGCACTAAAGTCAGAAGCAATTAAGCGTGCGCAGAAAAACACAAAAACTTGAATCAGAGGTCAGGGAGGTGGTGACCAGTAGTCCGGAGATGGGCAGCTTTTGTTTGCACAATTAAATTTGGCTCGAGAAAAAAGGGGAAATATTCATATCTCTGTGCGTGTATTTGTATAAGGTCGTTGGTACCCTTTGTTCGCCCAGACATTAAGCATTTATTGCGGCAAATTGAATGAAAATGATTTTTTATTACGATTTAGTATTTAAGCTATTGTTTTACCAGTGAGCAAGTCATTCAGTCAGTTATATAACATTTATGAATAATGATTTCTATGCAGTAGTAAGGAAAAGGAAAGCGAAAAATAACAATAAATAAATGTTGTTAGTAAAATATTTATAATATACAATTTTTGTAACTACTGAAATCCATATTCTGTTGTTGACTGACAAAGTTCCTTTAAATATAACCCACATATATTCTAACTAACGAAGTGGTTATTATAGGTACAATGAACTCTCTTCACAATAGGTACTTTTTAATAATATTAGTACACATATTTATTATCTTAAATTGTATTATCTTCATTGTATTCTGTGCATTTCTAAATGTTGTAAATGTTGATATCAATATTTTGTGCTTGACTTGCGAAACTCCTTTTAATTTCAACCAAACAAATTGGAAGTCACGAAGTGGTGATTATAGGTACAACGAACTCTGTTCACAATACTTTTGAAATAATTGCCGTTATCTGTCGTAAGGCCCGATAAACAATATCTTAAGTGTGTACTGCATATATGTGCAACTTTGGTAACTCCTCAAATCAATATTTTGTTCATGATTTACAAAACAACACTCTTTTAATTTGTACCGCAAATGTTAAGTTCACGAAGCGGTGATTTTAGTGAGCAATTCTTTTGCAATATTACCCTTTATCTGCCGTGAACCTTGATAAATATATATACATATTTATTATCTTGACTTCAAAAATCTTGATTATTTGCTTTCTTTCACTCAACGGCAGAAAACCAATCGAATTTACATGGGATGTGCTTGAAAAAGAAAACAGTGAAAAGTAAACCGAAAGTCATTTACAGAGAAATCTGTGCAAATGAAGTAAAGGTGTCAAGAACTTTATTGACAAGCAGGCCTCTAACTGCCAGGCATTGAACAAAAAAAGAATCATAAAAACGAAGACAGCGACCCAAGATCCCAAGAAGACCCGTGTAGGAAGCAAAAATGACAGTCGAAACCAAACAAACTTAAAACGTGACAAACAGTCAGACGACAAAAAAGGAAAATAGTTTTTTTTTGCATCCGTCAAATGAGCTACGTGAAAGTTTTCCACAACCGACAGTTCGTCTCATTTTAATCCAGTTTGGTCATAAAAAATCGACCTGACCAATCATCACTTATTGAGTTCAAAGTCGTATGAACCGCACCACATGCAATGCAATTCCGAATGCTACTGGTGAATGCCATTTTCACACAAAACTAGTTAAACATGTGGGCAGTAAAGTAAGCGATAGGTCGACATACTTTCCGAAGCCACTGTCATTGGCAAGTAAATAGAGCAAAAGCAACCACGCAAATAAGGCTTATAAGGTAAGCCACCTAGGCGTAATTAAAAAAATATTGAAAAGTCGCAGCTATTAAATTAATCAATTGAAAAAATATCCAACTTTACAGTATTATTTGCCCAATAAATATACCCCTACCTATATATATATATAATGATATACTTAAACATTTGTATTTGCTTTATAGATAGGTGCATTTAAATCAATTGTGGGTCCAAGTGACCAGTAAACTATAACAATTTAAACAAAATATCCAGCATTATATAACCTAAGCCAGATTACTTGAAAGCTGGTGGACCATGCTTCCTCATTTATACTCTTCCACTTTACGTTTACGGCCCAGAAACTCATTTGCAGCTGACACTAACGGCGATGGCAGTCAGCCAGTTGCAAAAAGCAACTAGGCGAAATGGACAGAGTGGGGTGGTTGGTAACAATTGCCAGCCATGGTCAATATCAGCAGCAGTCTTCAGGCCATTCCAGAGAGCCGGCAAAATGCGAATGGAAAAGACAAACGGGGAAAACGTGTGACACAAAATATCACTCTCATTTGGCGATGATGTTCATGATAATCGTGGATGCAGCTGAGTTAGGAAAAACATTGGGGGGGAAACCAATTGCATTTATGTGCGGATAGTGACAAATGTCAACGGCACACGCTAATTAAGGTTAATGAAAACGACAAGCCGATGCTCGGAAAAAATAAAGCATGACAACGAACCGACGGCGGTGATTAACGAGGACAGCCAACTAAATTGGTATACGGTGGAAGTGAGGCATTATGCTTAACGGCTGGATAATGCAAATATTTGTATTCCTTGTCTGAACCAGTTAAATTAGCATAGAGCTTTTGTTTTTCCATTAGCGCCAAAACTTGTTGGGTTCAATTCAGCACGTACTACATCTTTCATAACGCCCCTGTTGCTCCGATATAAATTAAAGACGTGCCCAACTTCAGAACCCCGCACATTAATTTATAAACAAACACAATAAAGAATGCTTTCTTAAGAAGTCGCTTCCCACTATACAACTATTTTATAACCAGAAGCAGAAGTATACAATAAATACCATTTTTAGCCAATTAAAGATTCATTAGAAGTCGCTTCCCACTATAGAACTATTTTATTACCAGAAGCAGATATAAACAATAAATTCCATTTTTAGCAAGAACCAATAGTTTGGAACCGATAGTAAAATAATAAACACTTACCTATTTTATTTTGCTAATTGCTGAAATAGACAAAGAAAATATAATTAGTAAAATAGGTTAAAAAAAAACTTAAAAGTAAAGTAGGGTAAAATTTGCAACTACTAATATTTATTTTGTCACATTTTAACTACAGTTTACTTAACTCTTTGTAAACCTTCTGTGAATCCCTAAAAGAAGTTTGGTTAAAAACAATTAAAACACCCAGAATGCAACACAACCAATTGTTTTATGGGTTAGCTACACAACTTTTTCGAGAAAGGCCTCAGGCAATCTGCGAAACGCAGACGAAACGTTAGGGCTCACTTTAAAATGCAATTCAGCTGCATTTGGTCTATTTAAAAATTAATGCTCTGCAAGGGAAAACAAAGAAAAATTCATGAAGAGTGGAATGCTTTTCTGCACTTTTCCCAACGCAACTCATCCTCTGTCTTCGCCTGCTTCAAAAACGGGGCCCCGAGGACTTGGTACAACCAAGACATCCTGCCCCAAGTTAGTTACCCGTTAGCAGGTGTGTGCTTCATAAAAAAGAGAGTAGTAGGCGGTGCTGGCTCAAATGGAAACAAAGGAACTGTATAGTTTTCATGGAACTACAGAGGTTTCCAGATTATGTAGTTTAAGTTTTAAGTTTCAGCTTTACAAATAAAACCGAAAGAAAAGGATTCCTTACCCACTCATATAAACATTGGGATCATAAGAAGTTCTATAACTATATCCCCCATTTATTGCAATCTGGCTTTATTTGTTCAAATATAAAACATAAAAGTTATCAAAAACAACAATAATTTACCCATGTACCCTTGTGCAGCAAACTCATTCATTCAGGCAGTAAGAGTGTTTTCTTATAAACCCCTCGACTTAGCCGCCAGACTCCTTACGCCCCCATTTGAACCCATAGAAAAGCTGATCCAAGCTCAGCAGTTGCCGTTCGCCACTTGACTTTTCAAGTGATTATAGGACATTATGAGAAGGGGTGTGGCAAAATAGAGCGGATGTAGCCCTAACTCACCAAACAAAGCGATTTATCGGGTTCGTAGTTTGAACCCAGGTCATGTGGCCAAGTGGACGTGTTGGGTCAAGAGCAAAATGGTTGAGTTTGTAAACAGATCCTGACTTTTAGAGAGCATTTTTAGAAAATGTTTAAGGAAGTTAGGATGTGTTTTTCTTCAATAACTTACTAGAACAGTTTGAAACAAAACAAAACAAAGCGATATTTTGGTAGACACATGCAAAAATAACATTGTGTTTTACCATTCCGCAAATAACTGTCAGTGTGTAAAACTTTTGTGAATAACTCAACTGCAGTAACTCAGAGGATTTGGGTATGAAACTCGCGCAACCGTGCACACATAACTCTTTCCCAGCCACCTAAAGGACAAATGTCAAAATTCCATGTGGCAAACAACAAAAACAGCCGTCAAACATCCACTTGCAAAATCAAATAAACGCGAATACACATTGGCAAACACATACCTTATTCAAAACTCGTATAGCACAATAACAGGAAAATACATAAAAAAAACATAAAAATAAATTTGAAAATCAACAACATTTTCTGTACAACGAGAAAATATGAAATTTAAATGTGAAAATACTAATCCAAATTCTATAAAATATATAAACTAGTAAATTATTTTGTATCGTTTGAGCTCTTTTGTAAAATGTATCAATTGATGTTTTGCCATATCACAATGTTGAGTTTGGGATTACAATTTAAGCAAACATTCTTTGTGAAAATATTTGGTGACTATAAAACACGAACAGAATAGCACAGTCTGCCATTGATACAATAAATATTTGGCAAAACACAAGGTGCCTTCGCAGGGTCAGCCAGCAAGGGAGAATTAAGGATTCGCATTGGGGGTTCTAGGAATGGGGACACAGCCTCAGCCAAGTGATGTGGCCGGAAGGCAATATCCGAGTTCAGGTAAATGTGGCGCTCGAGCAAACGCCGCGCACAATGCAAAATTTATTAGTTTTGGCAAGGGATAAGGAAAGAAGCAAAGCGAACAACCCGATTTTTGTATACCCTAACTTGAAAGATAAATCCCAACTATGATACTTTAGGAGGAATACAATAATTGAGTGAGGTATTTGTATTTTACTTGGGAACTCTTGAAACACTTTCTAAAGTTTAGGCACCTTGATTTTTGATTCCATCTATAGGATTAGGATTTTTGAAATATATATTATGTCTTGATACAGAACCAGTCTTTATTTAACAGGGAGGTGGAAATGTTTCTTTCCTTACTCCAAATGTGAATTGATTTTCGTGACCTTTTAGCCCTAAGAGACATTTTGTTAGTGTATCCAAATGCAACCCTACGGCACTGGCAACTGGATAGCGACAGTGCGGCGACTGAGCTCAGTAAAACCAACAACTGCAGGCAAGTTGCTCTCAATTGTGTTTTGCCTACTTTTTAGGGTCTCTGTACTTGCAGCGGTATATGTATCTGTATCTGTATCTGTTGCGGTATCGGGTTCTCTGAATAGTTCCTGGCACGACTTCAACCAACAATAAAAAGCGAGCTGCCCAGGTTTGTGCTCTAATAGTCGAATATTGTGCAACTGCACCTAGTATACACATTGTAATCAAGTTTCGCTAAGATATAAACGCCATTTCCTTCTTTTACAAAGGTGGATCTTTAAATAGTTGGCAAAGTACAGACACATAGTTACAGGTAAGTTAAAAATTGCATCTATTTGTTACAGCTTTCACAGCTATTTTTGTCAATTAAAAACTTAATTGGCACTTTTTATCCCTCTTTAATGGACGTTAGGGGATATATAAAGACCACGGAATTCTGCCGAAATCCTAGATAATTGGATACATTTATTAAAAACACTTTTTTGATTTTGCAACTTTTATGGAATTTATTTTTGGACCGTTTTAAGTATATTGACACGTAACTAAAGAAATACCGAGTTTCCAAAATAAAATGACAATACTTCCGCTGCGCTATCTTATGCTACTATAAACTGAACAAATTTAAGCATGAACCCTTTCAATGGGCAAAATAAAAGTTTTATTAGATTAGCTTCAAGTCACCCATAGACTAACAAATCTAGCATTACCGTGATGGTTCTATTGCATGTACATCGTATTTGTCATTTGTCTGATGCTCGTAATTTTAATTAACAGAGCAAATAAATTGTGGGGTCCCCAGAGAAGCTTTTACTTGGCTAATGGAATACAGTATACGACTATATAAATAGGGGGAGTCAAATATATATACATTTTGCCAGTCAGTCCCAAACAAACATGTTTACTCGAGCACGGGCGCAGGCTAGGGAAATAAAAATAAAATGGGATTGTCGAATGATATTGGATAGTGAAATTGAGTCTCTGGTCGGAAGCTAATTAACATTTCTACGTTTTATAAAGTTTTTTTAATGGAAGACCCTATTGAAAAAAACACCATCCACCGGAAAACTCAAAACGAGAAGTCGCAGTCTGCTTTACACAAGTGCACTTAAAATTGCATTCAAGATTAATTGAATTTTCAGCAGCGCAGTGTGCAGACATAATAAGCTTCTATTAAATTTAGGGAAAAGGAGTGAGTACCTTAATTATTGTAAATTGTAAAGCATAGTCCATTTCAATTATCTTTCTAAATTTGTTTTTGGTAATTGCACTTAAGAAAAGTGCAAAAACCCGCAATAACAAAATGTATTGCATTGTCTTTTCTAAATTAAAACGTTTATATTACTAAGACAGAATTTATCCGAACAGATTTTAAAAAATCTATCTTTTATTCTTTAAGTAGACAACCTATTAGTAAGTGCGTCAGTTGTTCTCAGATAAGACTTAACAATCTTACTAGTAAAACCAAATTGTCATACATTGAGTTTCTGCTGAAAGAAAATTGAATATAGCTACCAACTTGTTAGATAAGGTATCTCTAAAATAGAACAAATCAGAATTGTGTTTTGACATTTCGTTAAAAGCAGATGTCTGTAAAGTAGCTAGATAAGAGCCAAATTTTGAGCTGCAAATACCTATAAGCCCAATTAGTTTTTAATCCTTGGGGCGCTAAATAATTATCTGGATTTAATGGCACTTGAAAGCAATTCCAAGTAAACATTATCAATACTTTTTATGAGATTGCCGTTAGCCTACCTTATCAATTATTGAAACAAAGCTATGCAGAAGGTCAATACCATGGTGGATCATTCGATTCTCAAAGTCGAAGTTGATATTTATCGGTTTATATGTATGCCTGTCGTAGCTAGAACTTGGTTAGAGATAGGGCTTATAAAAAAAAGAGTATGCAACATTTTTTGAATCACAATGTTTTCCGTAGGATTTCAGCTGACCACGTAAGTGCGCACATGACCCAAAACTCTATAATACATACTTATTAAATTTTATATATATCATAAAAAATTTAAAAATAGAGTAAGGTAATGGAAAGAGGACAAAATTGATAGCAAGTATCTTCGAAGGTTGGCATTACTCAAAAGATAAGATTAAGAAGTTTTGGAAGTCTGAGCTAGCCAATTAAATATTATAATAACGGTGCAAAACGAAAACCAACATCGTCTAGTCTTCTTTATCTGTAGCTTATCAAATCATTTTAAGCAGCCGTTGAAGAGCGTATATTAAAACCACGAGTTGAGGTAATGTATGAATACTAAGAATTGAGTTCTATAAAATACTTTAAAAACCAACAAACAAAATATTTATTAAAGACATTTATATGAGTGTATTTAGAACACTTTTAAGGTTGGTGTAAATTCATAAAAATCAGGTCAGCCTTGACTAGGTTCAAAACAAATATTTCCGAGACTGACTGACAGAACATATGACTACTGCCAACGCTGATCCACAAAACATGTATACACACTATATGTATAGAAAACTCGTGAGTTGGAAGCAAATAATTTACTTCCAGATCAGTAAGCTCGCTGGAAAATAACTGCGAGTTTCAATTATATTTAGCACTTCATATGCAAATTAAATGGATTGAAAAATGTCTCTCACGCATTTGTGCCTGGGGCGGCAATCAGTCAAAAGACAAAA